CCTAAAAGAATTTCATAAACGCTTTCGCACCAAAATTGGTATCAGACCAAGGAAATTGTTTCGATCTGATGGTTGACTATGGTCCTGGTGGAAGTCGAACAATCAACGATGAACAGTGGCTCGATAAACTCGAACAACGAATCGAGGGGATCGATAAAACCATTCACAACATCACGCAAATGCTGATCCCGTTGAATCTCGAAAAGAATCACGAGCCCATGGAAAAGCAAGCTAACAAGAATTTGTAGACTTTAACCGCTATGAATGTTGGTTACTTCAACAAGATTAAAATACGGCAACAGGTGGCTAGAAAGTTTTCTCAAGTCCCAACTCAATTTGAATACACACAAATTATCAAGGACTCCACGAAAATTTATCGAGATCGAGAAAATATAAAAGAGTCCAATTTGAAGGGCAACAATTTTTTTAAAATACCATGCACCATTAACAACAAAATATGCAAAGTGATAATAAATCATAAGAGTAGTCAGAACTTGGTGAAAGCTTTAAATTTGAAGACTGAAAAAATACTCATCTTGCTGTTAAGCTTCACAAGGGCAAGAAATTCAAAATATGGATGTAAATTTCCGCTTTCTCTTGGAAAGTACTACAAAATGAGATTAAATGTAGCGTGGTAGAGATGGAGGATTTTCATGTACTTTGGGGACAACCATGATACTATGATGTAGATACCACTTACATATGTTGAGATAATGGATGTGTGTTTAGGTGGTACGATAAAAAGATTATCTTGGTGTCATGTGATAAGCAATCTATGAATGACAAAGAGAAAAGGGCTTATAAGACAGATGATGAGGCCAAAAAAGAAGTAATTCAAAATAATCAAGATGTTACCAACCATGGTATTAAAACAAAAAAAGAAAAGCATGTGCAAGTTGAAAATCTGAGGCATGTTGATTCCTTGTATATGGAAACTACAATTGAAAACTTCAAGATCGAGCCACACTCCAAGGATGAACAAGTTGAAGACCAGAAATGTCCAACCGGAGAGGAACAAATTAAATTTTGCAATCACGAAGGAGTCAAAGGTGAAGATTGTCAAATTGAGAATAAAAATTTTATTGACCTTTTCTAAAGCTTTAGTGTCAAAGAATTACATAAAAATAAGAAAAACATGGACGATGAGGATTTAAGTCCACGTACCAATTCTTTTATGTTGAAGAAAGCATCACTAAACATTACAGTAAAAGGTGAGAAGTATGAAGAATTGAAAATAGCACCAGTGGCCTCTATCAAGAGCGAACTCAATGATGAGATAGCAAATCATGCTTCGTTTATGAAAGAATGTCATTTACAAATTATTCGTGAAGAAAATATAACAAACATGATAGGAACAAAGTTGATTTTGAAGAATGCAACTTAAGAATATAATGGCATTTATCGAGCACATCAAGAAATTGTCATTTTTTCAATATCGGTATTTGCAGAAATTTTTGAGTATTTTCCTCCCAATTGATTATTTTTTCTTCAAGAAAACTCAAGGATGAGTTTTATTCAAGTGGAGGGGATTAATGTAGTCTATAATCATGATTAATAGTTTCCTACTACAATTGTGATTTATCTTTTCTAGTTGTGTTTATCTTTTCTAGTAGATTTTATTTTTTTATTCTTATTTTTTATTTAGAATATGATTTCTTTTATTTATTGATTAGCATAGGATTTTTAATTAGATTATGATTTTATTAGTTTCCTTTTATTAATA